GCAGGCTTATTTAAGTCTTTGTATAATCACCGGGCTAAAGTTGATTCAAAATAAGTTTTAAATTAATTCATAAGATTCTGTCGTTTTGTTCTATTTGATTCATTTATGATTTGGATCAAGTTAAGAGTACCAGCCATAAAGCTTTCCAAGATTCCAACCATAAAGCTTGAAGCGATCAATGTTTCGCCAATTCAGGCATAGTCAGAACAGAAAAAAATAAGAAAAATATCTACAAAAAAAATAATACCTAGTTTAGTTTTTGTTTTAAAAGAGTTTCTGCCTTGCAATCTTGTTTATGAAATGCAAAATAAATATTCATACTTCTACGTTGGAGATAGATTTTTGTATACTGTTTTTAAACTATTTTTGACATTTAATAAGGAAGACGTATAATTAGGATTTTAAGATAAAATGTCATCTCTGTGGTTACAGTGCCTCTACACAGCCTCCACTGGTCCTTAATATAAGTAATGCGGCAGAGTGAGATGAGCTGGGATCTCCTGGAGTCCTGCCGTTTTTGTCACGAGTGGGGGGAAAGGCTTGGCTCGTAGTTCTCATGAGTGAATGAATTTAGTAAATATTGTATAAAAGTATGCTTGTTTTATGTTTATATTTAAGTTATTATTTTCATTAGTTTAATTCCTTTTTGTTAATATAGATTTTCTTTCAGTATCATTATTTTTCTATTTGATTTCTTTCTATTTTTTATACATAGAATGTGAATGTGTCCTCTGAACACTATTATAAATATCCTTAACTGAGACAGATCATAATATTTCTCGAAGAGTTCAGTTAAAATTTATTCTGATCACCGACGTTTCAACATGTGGGTCATCATCGGGACGAAGCTTTTTTTTTTTTTAATTACTGGAGAAACAACTAAATCTATTCTAATCGGAGTGAGAGGGTCGATATTCATTGCATCGGTCTACCACGAAATAAATTTCAACATACCGATTGAATTGGAACCGGCATTGCTAAACTCGATAATATTAAAACGTGCAAATCGTTAACGTGCTGGGTCCCGCAGCATCAAGAATCAAGAAAAAAAAATGGTGAGGATTTTCAGGATGCTCTGACGATTCGACCACCCAAAAAGGCCTGACTGTCTTCAGAGATCATACAAATTTATATTCTTTATTGATACATGACCAAAAAACGAATGCCAAGTAATAACGGCAACACCGAAAAAGAGACAGGGGAAGACATCCTTAACACATTTTAATCTCGAGCCAGGGAGAGGCAATATTGAAGCGTGCTTCTCGCCCTCGCCCCTAAGTTGCCATGTTACGCATCCAATTGCCATTCGCTTGTCAGCGCTAACTGACAGTTGTAAACTTATTAAGAAACGAAGGAAATTGCATTCGAGTTTTTTTTTTTCATAAATATTTATTGAAAGTATGCTAAATACATTATTTCAATGAAAATATTGTAGTCGCGATGAAAATCATTAAATGCGTTCAATAGATCTGATTTCTTTCTAAATAAGATAACGCTGGATGTAGAAATATTTTGAACAAACCATCTTTAAGATTCATATATAATCTAGATGTCTTAAATTATGATAATGGCATTATTTTAGATAACATCTATCTAAAGCGGAATCTCTCCAAACTAACCTCCTTAAAGTAAAATAACATTAGGAAAGGCAGGTTCCTAAACTCAGTGTTAATCCCATCGATTGAATGGATCAATTGATCGAAACCGACGCCCATGGACGATTTATGGTGGGTTCAGTAACGACTTGCTGGATTGCAGCAGAAGGTGACCATTCCTGGGAGGTTACAAAACGCATGATAAAATATAGATGGAAAGTAAACTGAATATAAACCTGTATAATAAATTGAGAAATGTCAACACTGAGCTTAGAGTGTAGAATAACCTCATAACTTCGTTCATAAATCCCAAATGGAACAACTTAGTCATCGATAATTTAGGATATTAGGCCATCGGTAACACCATCGATGAGTTTAGGGACTGCCGCAAAGATTAGCATTATTACCAATGAGCTCAGCGCGATATACATCCATTCGATTCTACTAATTGTCATTAGAGGTACGTAGTAATCAATCAAAAAGAACTCTCTAAACGTAACAACTCTTTCAGCAATTCAGGACTTTCCGTTGCAATTTTAATATCAACCAGACCAGCACTAATATGAATCGAAATAGGAAAATGTATTCCGTAAATTTTATTTTCTTCAGACAAGGCAAAAAGATTTAGCTTTCCCGCTAATCACTTTTGACAAGGAACCGGTTTTTGCGTAGTAGGACACAACCTACCAGTTCTATCCATCTGCACCTAACTCAACTTCATTCCAGTCCAATGGCTTGACGATAAGTTTATTAATCAACTTATGATAAATTATTAACAACGAAATCAAGGCAATAGATGAACAGATATAAATATGAAGAAATGACATTTCAATTATGTAAATAAAATAAATTCTAGAGGTCATGTTATAAAAATGAAATAAATCCTTAGAAGTAGGAAGGTTTAAAGTTTTTATCCCCTTCTCTCCTCCCTTCAAGTAATAAATCTTGATATACCCTCCCTGCTTCTGATTAAAAAACTTAAAATGTTATCAGAAAAAAGTAAAAAAAAACATAACTTTCCATGTTTTACTACCTTTTATAGATTTGAGATAAAATAAATTATAGAAACAATTTCAGCTATATCAAATACAAGTTAATATCACACTTTCCCTTCAGTTATAGGATAGAACGAGTGAGATCAATCCCAAATTAACAGTCAATTTCTGTTCCTAATATTTACGATAAAAGAAGCAATATTAAACAAACATAATAACTAAAAACTAAACTACACAAAAAACCGAGATAGTGTAATCATTAATTCGGTACTACATTACAAGTGTCCCTCGACTTTAAGGGATGGTACAAGGTCACATGATCATACCGAAAGCTGAAGGAAACCAACGAACCGTCTTGTAAGTCCTTGACTTAAACTGAAAAGGACCCATCGGGGGAGAGGGGTTTGTTTATCGCGTATGAACGAGTATAGCGAATGGAAGTTGAAAGAAACGATGTAATTAAGGCTAATTTTAACTAAAAAGAACCTTGTGTTGCGGGGTGGCCGAACGGAGCAATCTGGTATATGAAATAAATGATAAAAATAGTCACGAGTTCGCGTCCCGGTGCCAGGGGAGTCTTTTAAATCCCCGCCCACATTATCTGGCCCGGGAAAACCGCGTATAGCCTTAACGGCGAGAAATACTCCCCTCCCTCCCCCCCCCCACCAAAAAACTAAATAGAACCGGTAGGGAGTTTGCCGAAGTTCTAAATTGCGACGTAATGAACTGAGGTTATACTGTCCACGCGTCGTCAATCTTCGGTTATTCTAGAGTTACGGAATGGACTTAATCCGTAACAAATAATAATAATAATGATATTAATTTACCTTTTATTTTGTTGAATATCCCAATTGGCGAATCATGTATTATCTTTTAGTTTCTCACGACTCAAATCATAAAAGCACAAAGCCCTAGATAGCCAGTAGCTTAGAAATAGTTATCTAGAATGTACCGACTGGACAGAAGACCCATTATCAAGACTTATTATTAGTTTATTTTATTTTTTTTTTTTTTTTTTCCTCCCTACCCTGCCTTTAAGACAATACGGGAGTTTGCAGCAGTGACTTGATACACATTGTATAACAAATCACTGTTGCACGTTTATCTATTTACATTTTTAAATTGCTGTGCACACAGCCTGCTATATAATTTTGTCACTTAGTTATTGTTCTCCATCTTCTTCTCCTGTCCTAATTAGCGGCCTTCCAGGTACTGCTTCTTCACGCCTTCCCAGGGAGAAGTGGGTTGGGCCCACAGTTTTTTTCCAGCCGCATACGAAACTTTTAAAGTGCGGGTAGTTTTGTTCAGACATTAGTTGGGGTAATTGTCCTTCTGTAAGAACGAAAAGCCCTGTATCCCTCATTAATTTGGCCCTCAGTGCCTCATAGCTGGTGCAGGCTACAAGGATGTGCTCAGCGGTTTCAGGTACTCCACAAGTGGGGCATAAGGGGTCGATATTTTTACCGTGTTTAAAAAGTTTTGCTCTGAAACCCCCATGCCCCGTGAGGATCTGTGAGACCCAGTAGTCCGGGAGGACCCATTTCTTTTCTAAGCGCGATTTAATGGTGGGAAAGAATTTTCTTAGTGTGGACCCGTTTGGGGTTGTCACCCATCGCCGATTCCATTGTCAAGACATGCCATTATCAAGACTTAGTGAACAACAACCGATTTCAGCCAAAGGGCACTTTCTCACATACATCTTAAGAATATTAACTATTGATAACTTCCTTTGCCGTCCTCTTCCGACTTCTCCCACTCTTCCCTTCACCTCCTTGCTATTCTTGGGTACATAAACCCCATGCTCCTAAGAACAAATCACTCATGTAGTTACATTCTTGAAGTCACACTCTTCACTGCAGGAGACCTGGAGTGAACTCACGTAGTCAACCAATATATCCACAGTATATTACTCTATATTTTAGATTACATTTGTAACTGCCATTATGAATAAAAGCATTACTTATGAAGTCTTCACTGCCTCCGATTCGTTAACTTAGGAATTCTATTATAGCATGATCATGGGATCTTGGCACATTCGTCAAAATATAGTGACACTTGTATCATATTACAACTTTATGCACATCTATTTTGTTTCATTCCTGTTCTGTAAATAGTTTTCAGTATTTTGTATATTTCATTTGTTTTGTATTTGATTTATGACTAGTTTATAATCTGTATCAGGTTATAATAAGTAATATCTTTTTTTTTTTTTTGCTTTTCATATCTTTATTTAAAAATATCTTCAATAAAAAATCTTCTGGCCAGAAGTAATTCTTTTTTTCCGTACTGTGTTATTCTTAAGGGACGTTCGAGAATTAAGTTATTTTTTTTGTTGTATTTTATTTATTTATAGCAGCAATCCAGGAGTTCCATTGGGACATTACGGAAGGGGCTGTCTTGGCTGATCAAGATGGCTGGCATACCCGAGATGGTACCATTCCAAGTAGACAAGACGCTGAGGTATGCTGGTTCCGCTGTCCATCGGAATACCAAGACGATTGGCTCTATACCCTCTCATTCAGTTAGTTGGAACAGCGCCTTACAACTGTACTGATTATATTTAACACCTCTCTAAACAGTACACATCTAAATTAATTAACTACACATTTTAATCGATATTAAAAAATACCTCATACCTAATCATAGCTGGGCCATTCCACGTCAATTCAATATATTTTTTCTATTTGTAGAGACTTAGAAAAATGTGAAATTTTATTTAGATAAATCAACTCGTTTTCAGATCTCATAAATAGACCCAATAGCAGAAAAAAAATTAAGATAAAAAATTGCTGTAGAATCATTCCCAATTTGGCTAGAGGTCTGAGATGATGCCTTTTTACAGCATTCTAAATATTTTTTCCTATGCTGTATAGGTTAATAAAAGGATTTTTTTTTCAAAATTTAATTTAAATTTAAATTATTTTTAAAAATACATATTTTAATATTTTTCTATGATGTTGTAGTAAGTAACAAGGTAACATATAAATATGGGATGACAATGGCTTAACTGCTAAAATAAGTTTTTATTTTCTTCATTGAAAAATTTACGACTGCTACAACACTTACTAGAATAACGCTCTAAACTTTCAATTAATTACAAAAGACTCATCAATTTAACCATAATAATATCTATATAGGACATACAGAGTTGAGCTGTGGGTATCGTATCCAATCCTTACAATCCAAAATCCTTCGTAAAATTCTTAATGCCCCATATTTTGTCACAAATAAAACCATTCATAAAGACTTTAATGTTCCATATTTAGCCCGAGCCAGATACCTACCCTTTCATGATAAACTCCAGTACCATCCGAATCCACTTGTTTCTAGCCTTGCTTCTTCTTCGATTCCTGATAATTGCCCTAAGCGTCTGAAAAGAAGATTTCCTCGTGATCTTCTCACCTAGAACTAAATAGGGAGTGCTACCACTGGGCAGTATCTCTTCAAGTCTCTTCATGTTATTATTTCTAATATGTGCATTTTTACTAGTTGTATTGGTTATATAGTTGTAAATTTCATTAAATAAATAAAAAATAAATTAATTGACAAATTTAAATAAATTGGTCCTCATTTTTATTTGATAATCTATATTTAAATATTCAATTGTTGTCATTAAACCTATTTAAGTTCTAAGACTTCAATTTAATGTTAATCATGTTCCTTCAAAGATTAAAAACATCGAAGACATACAATATGCCCAGATCCCAATTAATTCATAGCTTTTCATTATTCAATTTAAGACGAATTACTGTATAGATACTAAAATGGTTAAGGTATAATGGGAGGCCAATAACTGAAGGTATCGCCTGAACTGGGCCCAGATGGAAGGACTCTGCTAGCTGTCAAGAGGAAATAGGATGTCCAAGTTTAGCCATTGGGGAAGAGGCGACATGACTCACGATCGAGAACAGATGTGAGCTGCAGATTAACCAAAACCCGATTGCCCTTCAGGACGGAAAACCTTCAGAGCGACGTCACACAGCGTTGCCTCGGAGGCTAAAGCAGTTCTCATTATTTTCATTCCTGACTTACTGAGGACTGATCAGTACACTAGAGTATCAGTCCTCAATTTCAGATGCTGATCTTGGCCCACTGGAGATTCTTCCCGTCTGCAAATTCAAGTCAGGGAATATCAATCTAAGTGCCTTAATCGGAGAGAGAGAGAGAGCTCAGTGAGTAAGGCACTGACTTTCTGAGTTCGTTTTAAGTCCTGGGTTCCGGCTGATGCAGGTATAATTGTACAAAACATTGGTTGCCCGGCAGCCAATTCCATGATAAACCGAAGCTTATGAAACATGAAATAATTACGAGTTCGCCTTCCGGCTTTTAAGACTGGTATTAATCCCCCGCCCTCTCCCCTAGCCCGTGAAAATCCCCCCATATAGCCTAAAAGGCGAGGAAGGGGTAGACTGAAGATACAACCGAGGATTAACCTCAAGAGGGACCCTCCTAGATCATGCCCAACCTCAATAAAGTGGGTACTCTTAATTAATTAATTAATCAAGGAGGGAAAATCTGGCTGAACTGATGACGTTATTTTTAATGAATTAAATAGAGAAGTTCAAGGTCGGTCATTTTATCTTTTCCTTATTTTTTTCCTATTATAGCATTACCTAATTCCTAAGTAACTAAAAAAAAAAAAGGAAAGAAAAGGAAATGTTAGCTTACCTAAGTACTTCATTATCATATACACGGTCCAGGTGTATCATAAAAACACAGGTGTGCCATTAAAAAGGCCGAAATAGAGAAATAACTATTAATTTATTAATGAACATGCATAAGACGACCGACTAATAAATATACGTAAGGTAGAAGAGAGCGTGACCCCTGACCCGCGGCCTGAGGTCAAACCCTTGCGGCCCCAGGGGCCTCGCCTCCCGCCCGTGAATAATTAGCATAGCCCACTATTGTCTCCTGCCTTTCAATTAACTCCTTCGGCCTCCTAACTACGGCGTGCCATTCCACCTGATACGGCTGAGCAAATTTACGGATACTTCAGCGATAAACGAGATTACCAATAAATAACTGAACACAACTTGACTAAATCTTGAATTTTGGCGACACAAATGGTGCTTATTTTCGGGTGGTGCTTATAGGGTGCTTATTTTTCATTTTCAAATTCTGACTTTTTTCTAAAATATCTTTTAACTTATTTGCCTTTAGATTAATTTAATAAATAATCACAACTAGTATCCCTATCACTATTTATTAATGAATCTAACGGAGAATCTTTGTCTCCATCTTCAGTATCTAAAATAACACAATTAATATATTATAGGTCAGTCTTCATTTACTTTAAAACAGATAATTTTTTTTAAAAACAATTGTTTAACTTAATATAAATTATTTTATGTAATTTTTTAAAAAATCATAATTTACTTACATGATGCACCCCGAAATTGGGTGTCACAGTTATTAATAAGTTTGATCAATGGCTCTAATCCAACCAAAAAGATGAAAATGCATTTTGGATTATGGGTAGGAGATTTATTTTTAAATATTTTTTAAATTTTATTTGGAAAAAATTATTAATTTTATAAACAATTTAATATACCTTAATATAAACAGTCATTTATCATTATATTAGTAGGCTTTTTGGAAACATTTTGGAAATTTTGTAATAAATTTTATAAGCGTTAAAAATGTAAAACAAATGTATATGATTTTAAAAATTAAAAAATAATATATATATACACATAAAATAAAACATTTATTACTTAAAACCTCCATCCACAACCCTAAACGAAATTCGATCTTTTTAGTTGGATTAGAGCCATTAACCAAACTTATAATAACTGTGACTTATACAATATTGGGGATATCATGGAGTAAATTATTATTTTAACAAATAATAACTACATAAGTACAACAAATAATTTGTATTTAGTTAAACAAAAACATTTTTGTTTAATATTATGTGTTTTAAAGTAAAATATGGCTGGTTCATAATGGAGCCTATAATATATTAATTGTATTATTTTAGATGCAGAAGGTGGGAACAAAGACTCTTTTTTCCCTTAAATTTAAACAAGAAACAAATTATTAAGAATTTCTTTTTTCTTTTTTTCTAGCCCCCAAAACGTTTATTTAATAAATTACATATAGAATAACAATACTAGAAAAGAAAAAAAAACAGCAAATTATTGAGAAAAAAAAATATATCAATATATTTTAAGATTTATGATACCATAAGCGAGAGTAGATCAGACCTTATGAAATTGATACTAGACTATCTCGTTTCGTACATCTACTAAGGCTTTATAAGTCATGCTTTTCCTTATTTCTCTTCATTTATGAATAAAGAATAAAGCGGCTATAGCCTATCATAGAATGAATGATAATGTATGGGAAAGGGGAAACTACTGGACATTCAATAACAGCCAGTGGTTGATAAAGAACTTCTTACGATATCGCTCCTCGTCTCTTGATAGAACTTTAATTTTAGGCACTAACGATAGACATCAATATATAAAATCACGTGACTGGAAACAGGGCCTAATAGATAGGCTACCTATTCTTTTTTACCGATGGTTCTAGAAGAGACTCAACTAGTCCAACGAAGGCGAGAGTGCACATAGAAGATTTAGATGGACCTATTTGATATAGTTATATAGACCTATTGGGATAGTAATAATGATTGGGAAGAGTAACAGTAATAATAATTCGAAAATAATGGTGGCATAGACATAGGCTAGCTAAAGAGCAGTTTTTCTACTCCAGAGATTCCATATCGAAAGTTTGATACAATATTAACACTTTCAACAAAAAAAGATTTAATCAAATTTGATCTTAGAAATGCTGGAAACATATAGTAGATACAATTGCAAACCATCGAATATGAAAAATTGCCATTTTTTAATCCTACATTCTATGAATTGTAATTGTGAATAAATATTTATAAACATTGACTTCAAAATATTCGAACATTCATAAAAGATGTTAATTTGGAACGTAAAACATTCTCGTTGGGCTGAATCGAAGTGGTGATTTTCAGATTCGATAGTTTGCCATTGTATCGACACAATTTAGTAAAAATAAAAAAAATAAAAAACACTACCCTTTACATTAGAATTTCATAGTTTCATGGTAATTCGCGAAAATATTCACCTAAAACAAAGTCGAGGTTCAACCCTAAGTTTTGAACTAGATTTCAGAATTTCTGCTCCTCAGAAAGCCTCAAAATGAACTTGTATTTTCTTGGAGTCATGGTTTTACTCTATATGTATAGTAGGATCAGGGTTGCCCAGAAGGGGGTTTGCGCCATCCAAATTTTTGAGGGGGGGCAAATTTCAACGGGGTTATGAATTTTCGGACTAAAGGGAAAACATGATCAGACCCCAGCAAGTATAATTGTTTACCATCTGCGATTGTGCACCATCGACCTTGGGGAGAGGGGAGAGGGAGAATGGGCACCTCTGAGTAGGATATTTTCGGTTCGAAGTTTATCATAGTGAGATAAAATATTCTGTACTAAATTATGGTTTAGTAATATATTAAATAAAAGGGATCTAATTTTTATACACTACTTCTGAACAGATATTTCTTTGTCGGATCTTCGCCCGTAGAGAATCCCATACTTCTAAAATCCGTTGCTCCAGTACCCTTCCGACCTTTGAATCCCACCGATCAATCAATTCCTAGCCGTCTAGTTCACAAATAATAATAAATAAATGTTCTGATACTCAATCAAAATTTGTAAATAAACATACAGATAGAAGCGTTTGTTTAAGTGTTTGTTTTGTTTGAACACTGAATTCAAATACAAACGGACGAGTTAAAGATTTATTTTATTAGTTTATTTATTTGTTTTACCCTTTCTGCCTGCTGATATGATATGGATGGGAAAATGTATCTCTTTTAATCATTGCCCTAAAATGAGGTAAATTGTAATATTTCACAACGAAAACAAATTTATTGAAAAAAACAATTGAGAGGTACTTCTTTAACTTAGATAAAATATATAGATGGGGATTGCAGTTTTTATTTTCTATATAAACGAGATTTTTAAATTTATTTTCTACTAAATCAGCATGCACTGGGCCAATGACCTGGTGCAGCTTCCATCCAACCCACATATCATCGAACAAGACTTCTGAACCTATTTAGGCCTCTTCAATATCAAATATTCACGAATAGGTCAATATTTCGACCTATAAAACTAAATAAATCATGGGAGATGTTAGAATATACGAGCACAGGAAGGATTCCCACTTCAAACGAGCGCCTTTCACAAGCTCTAGATCATTTCGAACGTTTAATATTCATCAAAAACTGGATGGGGTTTTTTCCCTATGTTCTACAAAAAAAAAAAAAAAATTCATAATTGATTTGTTCATAAAATATTGTTTTGATGTAACAATTAGAATAGAAAATGTAGATTTTCGTGTTTCTTGAAAATTCTTTAATAATTATTAGAGTTCACTTTGGAAATAAACGGCTCCCACAGAAGTTATCTTTACAGAGATATATAAAGTAAGATTTAATAGCCGAAATCACAGGCCTAACATTCTAAAAATAACGAATGGACCTGGACCTAATCGAATTCGTGTAATTACTGAGATAAGTGAACCGGTGGAAGGGGCACGGAAGAGTGCGATAAACAAAGGAATCTGAAACCGCATAAAAATAAGCGGTGTAGTTTATTCCTTATCGGAGGGAATTAACCCGTTGAGTCGTCACGATGAGGACCGAGATGGAGGGGAGATATCTATGCAAATACATTCTACGCCATAGCACACTTCGGGAGGGGGTGGGAGTAAACTTATCTATCACCTTTCGGCTATATACAGAGAGATACCATTGCCTGTATCTATACACACATGGCTGGATTTTCCTTATTCATCCCATACTGGAATAAACAGAATACAAACATTGATAAGAATACCTACATATTATTGCATATCAGAAAATTCCACACAAAAAGCAACGGATCCAGAATTTAATTTTAGTTTTTTTTCTTTTAATTCCGGTAATTATTTTGAAACAAAACTGTTTTTTATG